CGCAATTCAATATAAAGATATAGAAAGAGTTTAAGATATCCAAAATAACATAAAATTACTAATTGAAAACAAAGAAATTATTAGTTATTTTATATAAATAAAGTTCAATTTTAAAGACAAATAATTAATATGTATAAATTTAAAATTTTCTATATCTAATATTATACAAAAACAAAAAACAAATAGGAATCGAACAAAATTTAGAAAAAAAAGTGAAAATCAATAGTTTTATAACTATCACTAGAATGGTACCCGCGCTGTGTGCGGGATGAAATAAACATATAGAAACGAAATTTCAATTTTTTTTGTTATATTCAAATTTACAATTACTTTTTATTTTTTATAGTAATGTGTTTTATCTATGAATAAAAAAAAATACATAAACTGAACTGAACCAAACTTACTCAAGATTCACCAAATCAAACCAAAACAAAAATATATAATAATTCTAATGGATACAAACATTTATATACTAAATTACTCAAAACGAACTCTAATTATACAAATCCGAGCCAAAGTAGTTAGAAATTACTAAAACATATTACTTTCCTTTTATGTTTTATATATTTGAATTAATAAACAATATTTTATCTCATTATATTTGATCTACTAATTCTTGACATAGTTTTAGTTATAGTATGTTTTATGTATTTATCAAAATTCTAATTGCTAACACACATTTTTCATACAAAATCGAATAATATTGTTTTCAATCTAAAATATATTTACGTATATATCAACTATTGTTGAAATATGTTTTAAAAATTCTTTTACATATTATTCCAAATATAAATATGAAACTAATTTATTTTACTTTTGTCAAATTATATATACAGAGTTTGTATGTAAATTTAATTGTAAGATTTAATATTAAATTAAATTTTGAAATAGTTGTTTTTGGCAAATTTATGAATATCCAAATTTGTTTGGCAATTGTGTTTAGTTATGTTTATGAATATTTGTTTGGTTATAGAGATTATATTAGGAGTAATTATTATAGAATTTTAATTATTTAAAATAGTTGAAAAAAATTGAGGAAATGACACATAAGCAAAAGTTGTCTCCAATGCTTCTCCTTTAATATATAGAAGATATCACAAATTTTAAATGCTTTGATAATTACCCCGAAGGATCAAATGTAGTGTAAAGGTAAGCGTGAAATCTTGGAAAAAAAAAACTAAAATGTAAAACTTGATAACAAGTAGGGATAATTGGCTAAATATACAATAATAAAAAAGAGAAATTTCAAAAAATACCACTTTTCAAGTGCCACTTTACAAAAATGCCACACTTATGAAATCTTTACAAAAATGCCACTTTTTCAAAATTATTTTTTCTTTATATTATTTATATTTGGGTTAATTATGTTCTATTAGGGTTTAGTTTTGAGTGTTTAAAGGGTTTTAGGTGTCAAAACATTTTTTAGGGTTTAGAATTTTAAGATATAAGTTTTATAAATCTATAATTAGTGGCATTTTTGTAGATAGACACTCCTAAATGACATATTGCAAATGTGCACACAAAAAGTGGTATTTTTGTAATTGCCTCAACAAAAAAATGCTTGATAACAAATAAATACAAATCAAGCAGAACATTGTGGGCCTTGCTCTATTTTTTACTTCAAAATGAATCCATTATATTTTCTCAAAAAGTCTAAATAGAACTAAAACCAACAATTGATAATTACAAACCGTGATTATTTTTCCAACTATTAACTATATATAAGCAACCGAGTACATGCGAACATCATGACATTTTGCATTCATATGACGTGATAACCAAAACCAACCATTGTATCTTGAAATGCCCTTGCTTTATTAGATTATACGTCTGATATAAAAGCAAGATAATATAACAGAAAAAAATTAATTAAAACAAGACATGGGCTGTAATCCTCTATCTAATCTGGTTTTAAATAGCTTAGAAAAGGTAGGAACATCATGCAGATCATAAGAGTCTTGATGATGGTTCCTCATGTTTCTAACATGTCTATGTTCCTCATAACTACCCTCGCTATTTTCATCATGTCGACCACAATGGCAAAACCTTCTCTCTCTACTTACAAATCTCTATCTCAAGATTTAGATTCTCCTTATACGGTGAAATCCAAGAGCTTTTTACCAAAGTTATATGGCGATTATGGGTTTTGGAACCCGAGCCCGGTTTACGGAGGAGGTTACCCTTATCCCGGGCCAGTTCCTCATGGAAGTCTAGATGCTAAGCAGAGACATAAGAAGCCGGAAGGATATTAGATATGTTCTTCAACTTTGCTACTTACGGGTAAAGCTTTTTTTGGGGTCTAAATGTTAAGTTATGGGTAAAGCTTTTGATATGGTTGTTCTATAAATAAGCTAGTGCTAACGCTTGTTTATTTTCTGC